TGGTGAGACTCTTGGGGACAGTCCTGTGCAGGGCTGAGGGTTGGACTCACTGATCCTTGTGAGTCCCTTCCAGCTCAGCATATTCTGTTCTGTGATTCTGTAAAATTTAAATGCAAGTTTTCCCACGTATCATCTTCCAGACTGATTTCCCCCCTTTCTTTCCCAGGTTTGGCAGGTACAAGTGTGCAAAAGGAACGACTGCTGTTCTCACAGAGAACGTGGCTCACCTGGAAATCGAGGTGTTGGACGAGAATGTGCAGACCATGGACACGTCCTGAGCCCCACGGGCTGCCCCGTGGCTCAGTCTCACCCAATAAAGAAGGCTCTGCCTCCTCCTGTGTCTGTGCTGCTCATTCCTGCTCTGTGCCCAGCTGAGCCTGCACCATGGGGCTCGGAGAGTTGGTATTTCCTTTAATACTGGACTTCTTAGTTTTTTAAACAAAGGTGTTTATTTTGGAAATAATTTTTTTATTTATCTAAAAATGCACAATTGCAAAAAATTACCTTTTGAAATACATTTCCTTACAAGCACTAAGAAGTTTTATGTAGCAAGAAAGTGACCAGAGTTCTCCAGATCCTCCCAGTGAGCTGAGCTGCCCTGGAAGCCGCTGATCCTCCTCGTGTTGCCCCCAGGACAGCTGCAGTGCAGGGGCAGGCTCAGCTCACACCTGAGGGCCGGGTGTAAATTAACCAAGCCGGTTGGCATGGGAATGGTGGGAGCAATTTGGTGCCTCCACGACCTTCTCCTGCTGATTTGAATGTCCTGACTCTCCTGAGAGCAGCGCCCTCAGCTTTCTGCTGAGAAGCCTCAGTAAATGACACCTTGCATTAATGATGCCAACCTTATTCACAGCAATTAATGGCTTTTCTTGGTACCCTATAAAAACATTCCCAAATTTGCTAGGAGTAGCTGAAGACGGCACTGCGGTTTTCCTTTAAGTAGAGCAAATTAGGTTAAAAAAAATCCACTAAAAGCATATATATGTATGTAACCCTAGCCCTAATCTTAGTTCAAAAAAAATTAAGGATTTTAAGCTTTCCTTAAAAAAAAAAAAAAAGAGAAAAGGCCCAGGCTGCATTTGAACTGTCACACACAAATCCACAGCTGGCACGAGCCCCGGCACTCGTGGGAGCGGCTCAGGCTGAGGGGTTTCCTCAGGAACTCCGAGTGCAGCCCCGCTCCTCCCAACAGGCACATGGAATGGAAACACTGGAACGTGAATCCACGGCTGTTCCTAAAGCAGGGAATATTTCCATCGGCAGTAATGAAACAAATCATTGATTCAATGAATGAATTTAGCTGTTGACAATTTTCATGCAGTTAGAGACGATGACTCCTTCAGATCAGGCTGAGATTCATTGACATTCACATTCTGTAATGAGCTTTCACAGTTTGAGGGACGGGGCTGATCCTATGCAGAATTCCATACACAGAGCATTTCATTTATTTTTTAAAAAATTTTCCAAGTGTTTAAAACACTGCTGAAGTTCCACTGATAGTACCCAATGTACTATTGAATGTGTAAAAGTCTCTGCACCAAAATCGAACTGGCTTCGATCAACACTGGTTTTAAACAAGAACCTGGAGGCTGAGAAGAGCCATTCCCAAAGGGAAAATGAGGGTGAGGAGCAATTCTCTGCAGGAGCAAAGCTGGTTTGGGTTTGCTTGGCATGTTTGGCTTCTTTTCCCCAGGCTCATGTTTAACTCATCTCTGACAGAGAAATGCATCAGCAAAATACACAAAGTTTACAATTAAAAAAAAAAAAAAAAAGAAAACCCAAAGTGTTTCCCACCCCCCAACCCTTCCCAGTTTCTAAGTCTGAAGAGGAGGGAATTAATAAAAACACATAAATGGCTGCTTTAAAATACACCAAGTAAAAACTGAATTTGCTATTAACCATTTGCAGAAGAGGCAAAGTAGCAGTTATACAAATTACACAAAATCTACGGTAATTCTTACATTAGTATAAAGTGATTTCACTGAAGGAATTATTTCAGTATTTCACATTACAGTTAAGAGAGAAGGTCTGGCAAAGGCCGAGCCCTCGGTAATATCGGCTATCCTAGATTACACACGACAGTTTTAAGAAAGGACCCTTAAATGATCTACATCCGTAACGTTATTGGCCTTAAAAATAAAAAATAAAAGAATCACTTGCAATACCTCACAGAATCTTCACGTTAAAGCACGACCACCTGTAAGAGTCCTTGTCAAATAACCTGCAAATGATGGAGCCTCTGCTGCGAGTGCTCAACCTCCCACCTGTGTGACCTGGCACCAGTCGCTTTCAGCTGAGAAAAGGATTCAAGTAAGACTGAGCTGTGCTGGCTCCGTGTGCTCATGTGCTCGAGGTCCACACGTGCATTTGTTTGGCTATTTGGTGCACGTAACCGATGTCAGGCCGCTGATCTGGGTCGGGGTATATGCACATGCTGACCAGCTCCCGCAGCTGCAAGACAGGACAACAGCACAGAGGGAATGAATCCACTGCTTCCCGACTGGGAGAGGCTCCAGATCGTCTGCCCGGGCTCTGCAGGCCAGGCCGGGAGCTGGAGCCTCCTGGTGCAGATGTCGAGCAGGCTGCAGGCACATGTCTCTGCCTCCTGGGTGTCCTGCCTCCAGACAGGCCGGGAAGAACCTTCCCCACCAAATCTTCACTGGGTATTTAAATCTTCCCACACCCCAGCACATTTTCCATGCCAGAGGAGCAGAGGGAGCCCGGCCCAGGAGCACCCAGCGTGTGCAGCCGGGGCTGGGGCAGAGGGAGGGAGGGAGGGAGGGAGGGAGGCACCAGTGGCCGGAGCAGGATGTGGCTGAAGGAGGGAAATCACCACCACAATGTGCCTGAGGTGGCAGGCGGGGAGGGACCTTCAGTGAAAGGGGCTCTGAGGGAAGGGGGAGCCTGAGCCGAGCTCCTGGTACAACCAACCCCAGCACCAAACCCTGCCAGCCCTGGAGTGCAGCAGTCTGACCAGCACTTAAGCATCTTAAGCTGTTGGACATGGCTGTGAGACCCTGGTGTTTCCTAAAAACCTTTGTGAAGGAGAGAGACTGGTCATTGATTATGTTTAATAAATAAAATGCAGAAGGGCTGGAGTCTCCCCACCTCCCAACCCTCTTTATTGTGCACATGAAAGATTGTAGCTTTTAATTATACAGACACTGAAAGCTGCTCGTACCCCCGAGGCACCGGGAGAAACAGCCTTGAGCCTCTGATCTTCTCACATCCTCCCAGAGCCATAGTGCCAATTATTTTAGCAGTAATTAAAAGCATGACCATACAGCTATCAAGCACACAGCTTCAGCTGCATTAACTGAATGTACTTGAGGTTTTCAGCTCTGGATGGAGGAAGGGCCCATCTTTGTTCCCACCCCAAACCTGCTTCCAGGCCCTGCCCCATTCTCTGGTGACTTTGTGACCTGAGGACAGGGATGCTGCTGCCTTTGTAACCCTGAGACCCTAAAGATTTAACACAGCCCTGATCAGCCAAGATCACCACAAGACTCCCACCAAATTAAAATGCTTAGAGCTCACCCAAGGCTGTGCCATCAGGACGTTGGTCCAGCCAGGAGCTGAGCAGCACTCGAACAGTTCTGTCCCCACAGGCAGCTCAGCAGCACCGACAGCACCGGTGGCTGAGCCTGGATCAGCAGTGCCAACCCAGACCTCCAGTTACCAGGAATCTGCTCCCAGTACAGAAAACCAGTCCTGGCTGCAGTCCCAGCTCCTCCTCCTGCTACCAGCAGCACAGAGCTGCTCCCAGGAGGATCTGGCCTGGTGAGCCACAAAGAGGAAACACCCCGAAAGCCACGGTTCTGCCCCGAACACTCCACCTTGTTCCTCTGAACCAACCTGCACAGCTGTACCACACTGGCTGCTGTTGATGGTGCAGCCCTGTTCTACCCCTCACAGGACTGGAGCTGCTGGCTGTTTCCCTGGGCAGCAGAGGAGCTGCAGCCACAGGCACAGACTCTGCCAGCATCCCGTGAATAGTGCATGAACCATCTGGAGCCGAGTTCTCCGGGACCCGGCGCTCTGAGCTGCAAACCAGCCTCTCACCCCGCACTGGATCACTGCACTACACACACTCTTTAGCACTGCCAGAGGGAAGCAAACAGACAGTAATTGTACAGACAGGAAACACATCTGTCAACTTACACTAATTCCTGCTGCCAGCAGGCACGTCTGAGTGAAGGAGCCGCACAGCTCGGCAGAGGGACCGGCGGGGCCGGGGCTGCCTCGGCAGCTCGGGGGGAAACGCACAAATGCATTTACAGACTGGCTCTCAAAGCACCGTTTGGCACCAGAGCCTTGGTGAGGAAAAGCGAAGCCAAACTCAGCGTGTGGCGTGGGGCCCCTCCCAGGGTGGGGGCCAGGCCGGCTCTCCCGCTGCACTGGGATTGCCCAGGCATCCTGCCCCGCTGCTCAGGACTCGAGATGGAGTCAGACAAAAGCCCCACAGGATACAGTGAACATTTAAAATTCCATTACCCGTTTCCTTTCAAATAGCAGGCAACTGTAAGGAAGGAGGAGGTAAGGAAAACCAGCTGCTTTGTGGAGGTAAGGGAGGAAAGAAGCAAAGCCCTTCTGAAAGGCCCTGAGGAAGCCCAGGGCGTGTCTGCAGCTGCAGGGACAGGGCCGGGGGTTTGTGCTGAGCTTCAGAGGCTGCTCCCACCCCTCTCCTTCAGATGCACAGCCTTGAAAAGCCCCAGTGCAGCTGCTGTAGAGATGCTTATTGCATTAAACTAAACGGCTTTTCTGCTCTTTTTCTTAAAAAGAATCCTTCCCCCCTTCATTACACACTGTTCATAAACAAACATTTCAGTGCTGGTTTATGGAATGTTGTTTTAAGGGAAAGGAAGCAAGGAGAGGGCTTTCCCACGGCTCACTGCTGGTCTCTGCCAGCGCCCCAGACTCAGTTCCAAAATATTCCTCATGTTAAGAAACCCTTTTTTGTCTTGATTTAGCTTGCCAATGTTCAGCCATCACAACAGCTGTTTCCTCAGCCAGGTAGCCAGGAGCCCCAGGCACCCCCCCTTCTGCCCTGGATGGGGCTGTTCCTCCTCCCAGGTTCCCTCTCCCCGTGCCAGAAGGAACTTCACTGCACCCCCACCCCATTCCCCTGCAAACACACTCCCCATTTACCTTTTCAGAATAATGTTCAGCTGGAAGAGGTGGGTAGTCACATTGCTCTATTTTTTGGCAAAGAGAAAACAGGTTCATTTTATCTCCATAGAAGGGACTCTGCAGAGCTGCCATCTGGAGAGAAAAAACCAGGAAACATTTCAGAAAGGCAAAGGATTTGAGAGCCCTCAGTGCTGCCGGTTTGCAAGAGCCAATTCTGTTCTCTGCCAGTGAGCAAGGGATGCTGCTGCTCCCAGACTGCCCCCAGCCCGTGCTGATCCAGGGTCCCCACAGCTCTGCAGCCCTGGCAGGGCTGGTGCCAGGCACTGCTCTGCTTCCCAAGGAAAAAACCCAAGAAATAGGATGCTTGGACCACTGAGAGCATCAGTGAGAACCCAACTGGCTCTAAGCCAACTCTGAAACCCTCTCAAACAATCATCTCTCTAAATCTGTGGACATTTAGCTACTTAGAATGCAAAGAATCTTACAGGCAAGAGCAATGTACTTCAGCCTTTAAAAAACAAAACCTCAAAACACACCTCTCTCCTGCCAGAAATGGGCTATTTATAAAAGAATATCCCAGGCAGATTTGGGAACCAAACAACTGACAATGTTCCTGATCAGTCTGGTCTTTTCCCCTTCCAGTCCTGTGTTACAGCTCCAGCACTGGCACCTTCAGCAGTGCCACGGCAGCCCCAGATAACCAGGCTGATCCCCCAGGAGAGCCACGGGAGGCTCTGGGGAACAACTGAGATGTGTCTGTGCCACGCTGGAGTCTCAGCAAGGAACTGCATCTCAGTGTGCAAAGCCACGAGGGCTGTGAGTTCCCAGCCAGTGTCTGCTGATGGCAGAGCAGCACCCTCTGCTCGTGTTCCCACGCAGGGCCTGGAGCTCGGGGGTCAGAGCAGCCTCACCCAGCACAGCAACACCTCCTGCTGAGGAATTCCTGCTGCCTAACTGGGGGTGTTACCCCTCTGTTTAGATCTTTTAAACTGTTTCCTGACCAGCCCCATCACCTGGCCTTGCTTTTCATCCCGAGGCCAGCTGAAGCTGCTGCTTCTCCCTGCGGCTTTGCCGGGTTTTCTGATGATGATTAGTCTGTTGCTCATTACCCTGCGCGGTGCTGACACACAGCGAGCTCCCAGCAGAGTTAGAGCCAATACCAGCCCCTGCAATCTATTACCTGCACTTAGGAGCCAAGATTGATGGGTTCTGAGGGATCTGGTGACAGACAAATGGTTTTGATTAGGACAGGGTTGGAACTGCTGGGTCTGGGCTGGTTCCCAGCAGAGGACGTGGCTGGGCAGGGGCCCTGCAGGAACGGGCTGTGGGTCCCACCAAAACCTCAGTGCCATCAACACACACCCAGGAGTCGAGCAGTGCAGGACACACCAGCAGAAACTACCCTTGCTTTAAATCACCAGCCTGCCTTTTAAAGGATTTAAAGTTCCTACGTTTCTTCCTCACTCCTCACCACTACCAGTAGTAACCTAAGCTACTCCTCGTGAACCTACAGCCCTGAGGGGCTCCCAAGGACCCCAACGTCAGGTGAGAATGTTTGGAAGGTTCTAAAGGCAAGAGGTGAAGTATCACTGTTGCTTCACTACTGTCAGAAACAGGCAAACCAGTGGGAGAAAAATTACAGTCCAATTAGAGCCTCCAGTCTCCAATTAGGACTGATGGCAAACTGCTCTCAGTGGGTTCAAACAACGCAGAGAGCCCAGCACACAGGGCTGTGCCAAGCACAGCACTAATGGGGGAAAGGGGAAAGCACAGCAAGGGTTAAACAGGGCCTGCAGGATCTCAGTACAAACACCACTAATGCAGTGAGGTTGAGAGGGATTTTCCAGTTGCTGTTCCTTTTCCATCCCAGGGCTAGTTAAGCAGGGATGTGCCAAAGGGAGGAATGGGAAGGAAACGGTGGGGTTTGGGAGGGTAAATGCAGGGAATTAAAGTGGAAAGAGGGCACCCAGTGGTAACCAGAGCAGGGCCATCACCACAGGCACTCCAAGTGTCTCACTGAGTGCAGTTTGTGATGAGCTGGGGTTTGCTGCTGACATTTTGATTAGAGCAATTACCCCAGGCCTGGCAGATCCCCCGGCCAAGCCCCACCACGCAGCACGACTGGTTGGAATCCCTGCTACTGCTTCCACTGATCATCTTGCCACAACTGCTGAAGTCACTGCTTCTAGCTACATTCTGGGAATTAACAACTTATTTTTATCCCCTCCAAGTTATCTTGCTGACAGACATCTACAGGAAGTGAGGGATGAAGACAGTTACTACTATATTGATAAGATTTAATAAAAATCACTGTGTGATTATCAATGTCAAAGTTAAGTGGTGCTATGTGGCATCATGTCCCAAAGCCCTCAATGTTCCCTAAGTGGATTCCAGCGGACACGCCTGTCTCTGAAGGCAATTTGTACGTTAAATCTCTGCAGCTTATCTGCACAATCTATCTGGAGAAAGATCAGAAGTGACTCATACCCAAACAAGCATCCCCCTTCCTTACTTCTTAAGCCAAATGGAAAAACATTCTCCTTGTAAGAAATCAGTGCAGATAAAACACAGCTCCTTCAAAGGCACACAAATCCGAGGTTTAATTTTTGAAATTCTAGGAAGTTTAAGAAGTCAAGTAGCTGTTTAACTGCTGAACACAGAATTGGTACCTGTCAAGTCTTCCTTGGAATCTGCAAGATCTCACAGCTCCTGTTCCCGAAGTTAAGCCTCACCTACGTAGGAAGGAAATCCAAAAACGCTTCACACGCCAAACCTCTCAGATATTCCTGTAGTACTGCTACTCCTACCAGAGAATTCTGTTCAGTGTGCAATTAATTCAGCTGCCTGAAATACAAGGAGTACCAAGACTCCTGTGCCATAAGGGGACCATATTGCCTGCAACAAAAACATATCTTAGCACAACGCTAAATATTTCTCTCTGCATAAATCTGGAATTCCATCTCCAGGAGCTCAGCCTGGGAGGGACCCTGGCACTGCAGCAGCACCTGGGACTGGAGCCCACCTGGGCCCACCCTGCCTGCTCCTGGCAGAGCTGGCCAGGCCAGCCCCCCCCAGCAGGGCCAGTCCTCACCTGGAGCCTGCACTGGGAATTCCTCCTCAAGCCAGCACAACGAAGTACTGGGAGGTCAGACTTCCTTCCCTCTGTGCCCACAGCTGAAACTCTAAATCAAACAGCACCAGCAGACCCAGGTACACACACCTGTACTGCTCTGGTACCACTGCAGCCAACGCTGGCACTGTGCCCGGCTCCGGGCACCCACGGGTGTCACCAGGAGCAGCTTTTGGACCCCACTCCAGTCCACAAACGCTCCTGGGCCCACTGTGCTGCTGGAGTGGAGCCCCCCGGGGTCTGCAGTGCCTTCAGCAGGGTCTGATGGATCCCTCCCCTGAGTTCCCAGCCCAGCCTGTCCCTCAGCAGGTTCACCCCCCTGGAATTTCCCACCTGCAGCAGCAAACCAGCCCCTCTGAACCGTGTGGCAGTGCCACCCCAGGCAGTGCCAGCCTCCCTGAGCAGGCACTCAGCTCTGGGGGAAGATGCTCTTCCCACCAGGACCCCGCAGTGCCAAGCTCTGACTCCTGCTGGGAACAGCTTCCACGTGGCAAAACCGACTTTTACACCACCTTGTCCTGCCAGGTTTGTTTGACCAACCAGCTGAAGTGCAGGCTTAGCCAGAGTATCTTCCACATCTGATGTGCTCAGAAAAACAATTCCATTTCTCTAATTCCATGTGGTTACAAGAAGTTGTACTGAGAAGCAAAATGTCACCAGTTCACATAATTTGTTATCCAAAGAGGACATGAGCAACATTCTTATTACTAAATATCCCAGGGATTTTTAATCCTCTGGGCTGGAATAAAAGCTTTCTAAATGTTGACATGCACTTCCACTTGTATTCGAAGATCCATTAAAAAAAAAAAAAGATTTAGATTAGATTATAAATGAGTACAAGACTGTTCAATACCCTTTGATCCCTGCTAAAAATGAAATCACAAAACTGAATGCACTGTTATAAAATCATAGCACTTATTTTCAAAAACATGTACCAGCTTTAAAGAACAAGTTGCACACTGGGCAGTTCACCTCTGGGTCTGTGCCTGGAGCTGTAACACAATGCACAATTAGAAAAACTTCCACCCATAGGCTAATAGTTAAAGACCCTGATTTCACATTACATAAAAACTCTTATTTTTCTTTACTGAAAGCTCCCAGAATTAAAACACTGCAATTGGTCAGAATGGATTCTGAGAAACCAGTAGCTTGCATTCAAATGGATTTGCTATTTTGAAAACAAAAGCAGTGTTCAGGAGACACTCTGACTGTGCTGCCCTAACAGGGCTCTGCTCCCAGCAGGAAGGAGGGATGCGGCGAACTGGCTTTTCCTGGCTGCATCCTCAGCATCTGCTGTGACCTAAATTAACTTGGAGTGAGTGCTGTGCTGGGTGGCACAAGCCCTTTGTTGGTGCTCAGCCAGCACTCGGCGAGCACAAAGCCGGACAACTTTTGCTCGGGTTTCTCCAGCAGTGGCTGCAGCCAGCCCGGCCCCCGGCACTCCTGCCCGAGCTGAGGGTTCCACAAGCCCAGGGAAACAGAGAAGATACTTGCCTCGTACAACAAACAGCCCAGGGACCAGATATCAGACTTAAAGTTATAGCCGTTCTCGTGTATTCGCTCGGGGGACATATAGTAGGGAGTTCCCACTGCAAAACAAACAGAACAGGGTTATTGTCTCCCCCGGGGATGTGCAGAGCCTGTCCCACACTGCTGTCCCCACCCCAGCCGGTCACCAGCAGCCCTGAGGGCAGGGAACAGCTCCACACAGGGGCAAAAGTCTCTGCAAGAACCAGGATATCATTCCAAACTTTGTCACCCTGCTCCAACTTGCACTCGTGTCAGAAGCTGGGGGATTTCCATGTACTTCCACAAGTCTGTACTTTATCAAAAGAAATTTACTGCGCTATTTTGGACAGAAGTTACAGAAAATTATTAATGAATTCCTTACCTCAAAAAGGTTCTTTTTTAAATCCTAAATAAGTTTCAGTTGTGGTACTGAAATACAAGACATCCTGGCAGTCTCAACTACATCAAATAATCCTCAGATACATCATTTATTAAAACATCCAAGGACTGTATATGCTCTTTTCTCCTGCTTCCTCTGCTTGTCCGTCCCCTGTCAATTTTTTTTTTCCTTTTGGCATTCCAGTGTATCCTTCTCCTAATTAAAGACCTTTCCCTCACAAGATGGCAAATGTTTAATTTGCCTGTAACATTCAGTTTACAATTTCTCCATTTGAAATGCTGACTGAGACAGCTGGAGGACTAATAAGCAGCAGAAAGACAGTGCTGGAGGTGGAGGGGAAGAACAGCCACCACCTTCCCCAGCGTTCCTGAGGAGGGATCTGCACTGTGGGAAATAAATGAGTTCTGGGGAGAAAGCAACAGCCTTGAGAGGCAAAACCCAACCCCTGCCACCTGCACAGGTGACCCAGCACAGAGCTGGTCATTTATTTGGACCCCCAAGATGTTCAGCAATCAGCTGCCCTGCATGGTGAACTCAGCTCATGCTTTCAGGTCATTAAACAAGAAATTACTCCCCTTTCACTGTGAAGGTACCCTAATGAGAAGTTACATTTCTGTAAATTCTATACAAACCACAACAGAGCAAAAATAGCACATGGAGATTATTTTGTTTCCATGCTGAGGAGGAGCAAGTCAGATTGACACAGTCCCAGATCTGGCTGGGGAAGTTTAATTGCCAGTGAAAGGCCCCTGGGTATGGAAGAGACCAGAGATCTGTTAATAATTTTTAACAGACTATAGAGAGTGACTTCACAGGACACCAGGAGCAGGCAGGACTCACTCCAAGAGCCCAGCCAGCCCTTCCAGGGCTCCATCCCATGTGCACGCAAGACACACACGATGGACAGCACAGCTCTCCCAGTAATCCCCACACAGCTGCCAGACCTCTGTGCAAGAACTGACTTGGCTGGGACAGCACTGATTCATCTTCCTGATTAAAAATATGCAGCTGCAGCAGCAGCAGTGACTCATCCCACGAAGTTCTTGGACAGTTTTGGAAGCACCGGCGTGTGAGACACTTCCCCAGCTGCACCCTCTCTGTGCTGCTGCTCTTCCCACCCCGAGCTCCGGGAGCGGGGCAGGGCCAGGGGGAGCAGCAGGGCAGCCCCAGCCCTGCCCCGAGGTGCCCGTGCTCCTGTGCCAGGGCCGCTCCTGGGCTGTTATTCCGGTCACTGCGCGACCACCTCGGAGCAGGAGCGAGCGGGCTGTGTGGCCACGGCAGCCAGGTGTGCTGGGGCAGCCCCCCTGTCGCTGTGGATGATGCCTGCTTTACAGGATTCCTGCTTTACAGGATTCCTGCTTTAGATCAGCCTGAGCCCCCCTGGGTGCTCGTGCCACGGCTCGGTGCCCTCCCGCCCGGCCGGGCATTAATCTGCTCCACTACATCCCACAGCTCTGGAGCTCCCCACGCCTGAGCTCCTCTCCTGAGCCCACCCACCACATTTACCTGCCATTACCGAAGCCTTGTCGGCAAATGCACAAACAAGCAGAGCCCCGCGTTTCAAAACTGAGGCATTAATTTTTAAATAACTGTCATGATAAAAGACTGACAAGCCCAATTCTCTTCACGGCCTGTCCAGCATTACGTGGGAATGTCCCATAATGAGGCTCTTCTAGAAAACTGCACAAGGCTTCCAGTGCAATCAGTCAGGGCTCACCATTGCATCCCATTAGTCAATTTGACAAGAGCAGTCTAATCGAGACTGTTCATCTGAAACTTTCTTTGGCATTTGCCCTGCTGCAAATACAAAATATTGCTCCGATCCAGTATCACTCACCAGGAGGTAGAGCATTGCCTTTGAAGTCATAGAGGTTGCCAAACCATAGGGAAGCTCTGGCTAAGCAAGGAGCTTCCTGCTCTGCTCCTGGCAGTTGAAACACTTCACTTGACCCTGAGCCCCTTCAGCGATGCCAGAGCACCCCTGCTCCCCCTGGGCACAGCTACACGGCTACAATTAGCAGGGAAATGCTAATTATTCCCAGTTAGAACAGCAGCAGAGTCTCCTATGTCACCAGGAAAACACAGAGGCAAAGGCAGCAAAGTTATTCCAGAAATAAAATTCCAATTCCTTCTCTCTCGTGTCCAGTCTGAACTCCAGCCCCACCTGTGCACAGGTCCCACAGCTGCCCCAGCACATCCAGGGCTCACTCTGAACACAGCCAGGCTCTCCCTGCACAGGAAGATCCCGCTCAGCCCCTCTGAAAACGTTTTCCAGCTGACTCAGAGGAGCTCTGGTGCTGTCACAGGGGCAGGCTATCAGCACTGGCACACAGGAGGGTTATGTCCCTGTGCAAACACAGCTCAGCCAGCACTGATGCTCCTGTGGAACTCAGCCCTGTCTGCTCGTGAGCACAGCCAAAGGAAATGGGATTCACACTTGCAGGAGGCTCTGTCAGTCTCATCTGCTGAATCTGAGGTACCCAGGCAGGCCCCAGCAGTGGCTCTCCCACACCTTCACACAGACTGTCAGACTGACATCAGCACACAGTGTCTCCCACAGGCTCTGAGCTGGCTCAGGTCGTCTCCCAGAAGTAGAATTTAGGAATTAGCTAAAGTGAGACTGTGCTCAAAGGCACTAAGACATTAAATTCCTTCAAATCTCACTGTGAGGTACCCCCACGAATTGTTTCAAGGGGGAAAACAAACAAACAAAAAAAAGCAGGTAAAATCTACTTCTTCTTAGAAAAAAACCAATAAATATTTTGTGCATAATACTGCAGCTGTTGTTACCAGACCTGATGCCTTAAGGCTCTCTATTTTTTATTCTTACTAGTATTTAATCACACACCACCACTTAAGTCCTTACAGTTTTGTGGTTTGGTTGTTTTGGGTTTACTTGTTTTATACATGTATGTAGAACAATATACCTGCAGAAATTCTGCATCTACCTTTTCTTCCACAAACACTGTACTCAAGGCACAGACCAAAAGGCCCAAACTCCTCAAAATTCCCACAATATTGGCTGTTGACATTTTCAGTGGATTTCTTGTGTCCATTTTTTCTAACCCAGCCCTGTTTACAGCCCCTCCAAGCCCTGGGATTTTGTTTCAGATGGCAAACTGGCTTGGCAAGTAGAGGAAAGAAAAGAGGAAAGGCAAACAGACCGTTTACTAAAGAGCTCTTCAGCTGGCCCCTGGTAACCCTCCCATCCAGAAGGAACGGGTAACACCCCTGCACTCCAATCCACAGCTATTGGCAGGTTCTAGGCTGGGAAGCTTTGACTTATGTGCATCCCCCGAAAGGAAAATCTGCTCTAAGTATATTCTTGTCCAAGAATAAATAATAAATCATCTGCTCCAAAACAAGCCTACTCTGTGTAAAACTGGTTTCTTTTGGTTGCATGTTTTTTGTTGTTGTTGTTGTTGTTTCATTCTTTTTTTCCCCTCTCGTTTCTTCGAAGCGTAAAGCTAGTCAGAAGCTCTGGATAATGCCAAGTTTATGTGGCTAAAAATGGGCACTAGACCAGTTCTCAATAAAGTTATCCATTCTAACATTATTGGAAATTCTCTGCATTTATTGAAGTTTTCTAAAGTCTAAAATTAGGGAAGGAAGGGCTGCTGTAACAAGGAGTAGTTAAATTCACCCTAGGAACACCCATTACCTTTAAAACGTGAATTTGCTGGCAAGGCTTGTGAAGGAAGAGCTCTCCCCTGTGGAAAACCATCTCCTGTCTGCTCCCAAGGGAAAGGGAGAGCACAGCCCAGGTGGCTCCCTGGGAACTCCCCCGCACCCTCCGGCCCCAGCTGGTTCCTGCTGCCTCTCCCTCACGGGGGACTGGAGGTGTCCACGTTTCCCCCCTGGCAGGTGTGCCCGAGGAGGTTTTCCAGGGGCCAGGGCTCTCCCCGGCGCTCGGAGCCCGGCGCTCGCCGGCGCCTCACGAGCTGCGTACAGGCAAATCTTTCATTTTTCTTTCATTACCCCGGCATGTACTGTCACTTAATTTTTATGTATGCAATCCTTCCTGACAAATATGATCTGCTGCCTGGTAATTCATGTGACGTTCATTCTGTTCCTTGCTCTAATTACGGCTGCCGTTCCCGGCGCGGCGCTGCCGAGCCGGTGCTACACCTGTCAGCCGGGTCGGGGGCTGCCTCGTGCCCTTTTGTGCCAGCCTGATGTGAGCAAATACAGCCAAAGGAAGAAATGAGATGAATATATTTGCATAAGCTGCACACTGAATTCATGGGTCAGCAGCCAGGGAAGTGACGGCTCGGGGCGGTTGCCGGGGCAACGTGGGATGGGAAGTGCCCGCTCGGCACCGCGGCCTGGGCCGGGCACCGCGCTGGGCGTGGGGATCATCCCCCACAGACACCTACAGAATGGCTTAATTACACCAAAACCACGACCAGCCGACCTCCTGCTGCTGCAAAACCTGCATCTCTGGCAAATTACCAAAAATAAAGGAAGAAGCTTCAAGTCTGCAAATTTTGTGACTGTTGAAATGTTCTTTTTTCACGTGGATCCAGGAATCTCTGGAAATGGTGGTGTGTCCATCCCTCTCCAGCCTCAGTGCCTCGCCCTCAGTGTTCTGCACCCCATTCACCTGTTTCCAGGGCACTGTGATGTGAGGAAAGGCACAAGGGGCTGAGCTCTTCCTACTCGAGCTTTCTCAATTAGGAGAGAGCAGCCCTGCTAAAGGTCACAAGCTTGGCTTACATGTGCAGCCAGCTTCCAAGCCCCAATTTATTCTTATTAATATAATAAGTGCAGCAGTCAAACTAGATAAGATCATATAATTAGACATGATCGTATTTTGGCCTGTTGAGATGATTTGATTGTAACTTTCTGTGAAAAGGATTTATTTTCATCTATTAAGCACAGTGGGGACATATCCTAGGACAGCTTTTGATGCAAAGGGAAATCTGAAATCTCCTATTTTATGCCAGTAAACTGTAGAAATGTTCCTATTTTTTTTAAGCACACACAAAGCAAGGCAGGAATCTTCCTCCGTTGTGCACTGAGAAGCCCCAGTGTTACCGATAAGGTCTGTACACATTAAAGAGAGGATTCACCAAGACTCACCCAGTGGAGGAAACTGCACAAAACGAAGGGTGAAACAACCCTTGTGTGTTCCAAAACCAACTGAGGTCAACTGCACCAGAAGCCAAAGTTCCCTCACTGCTCTAGCACGGAAGCACCTTTGGGACCCATTAATAAAAATGGAAAATCACCTCTTAAGAGGTTACAGACACAGTCAGGAAACACTTTGTACTGTGAGACTTAAACAATGAACTGTACATACTATGGAATTTTCTGCTGCACTGGAATTAATGCTAAAGGTGAAAATGAGGGACACAACTCTGAGCTATGTGGAAGACATGAAGAAAGCTTGGACCTTTAAAGCCTAAGCTGAATTTCAAGTGGAGTCCCTTTTTGGAACAGATGAACCACGAGGGCTTTGAACACCTCACCCACCTCAGAGAGCCACAGCCCCGGTCAGGGGCTGTAAAGGTGCTGGTGTGACATTTCATTCCAGCAAGCACAGTGCAGGCAAACATGGTATTTAGAGTGGAAAAGCTGCATTTGTTCCATTTGCTAAAAATCACATGCTTACCAGGCCAGGCCTTCCAGAAAAAAATAACAAGCGAAGCTTTAAAACAGAAGATACCTATTAATGCCTATGCAGAGCATTCTGAATGCCCATCACTGCAGATCCAGGATCCACTGAATCCCACTTCTGTCACCGTCAGAGGACAGACACCACTGCTTTTGAACATCACAGCTGACAACCGCACGGCAGGGCTCGCTTAACAAGTACCAGCTTACCTAAGGAATGTGCTGCAGTGGTTTTAGAACTAAAAAACCGGCCTAATCCAAGATCTCCCAGCTTCACCACCCCTGTGGCTGTTATAAACACGTTGGCTGGTTTTATGTCTGCAAGAAGAAAAAGGTAAAAGGTCAAAGCCACAAAAGGTTATTTGGTTCTAATACTGCAATAGAAGCATTGCCTGCAGCACTCGCTGTACAAAGGGGCTGGAGCAGAACCGTGCTTCTTTACAGCTTTGATAGGCTCAATCTTCCAAGGCCTCAAGCTCTGCACAGACACAAAAATCAGAGTGTACTTCCCAGCACACGAGAAATACCAATGAGGGGAAATGTAGGAAACAGCTCAACAGAACAGAGGCAACCTCTAACTGCTGGGAATCAAAGAGAGAAGCCCAGTTCTCTTTGGGAATGCTCACTTTCCGCAGGAAACTGTACTGCCCACCACCATCCCCTCGTGCAAAGGCTAATTGCTGTTCCACATATGCATAAATTCTGGGTTCTGTACAGCCCAGTTGGTTCAGGGAGTGCAGAAATCTCTAGAACCCCAGTTTCCCAAGCAGGAACGCCAGGACTGAGCTAGAGGCTCTTCCCTCACGTCAGAGCAGACTCAGTGTGAGGGGCTCCACATTTCAGCCACCAATTACAGACCTAATTCCGGTACAATTGATAAACTGCATCAGGGGATGCATAAAGGAGCAAAAATGACATCACATTGCTGAGAAATACAGTGAGGAATTCACTCCTTCAAAGCAGCAGGGAAATAACAAGCAGCAGAGATTGCTGCCTTTTGGGATATTTGCATTTCCTGAGTCCAGTCCTTCCCAAAGCGCTGCACTGACTCTGAAAGCACCAATGTAATTTTTGGATAGAGCTCAAACTTAGGAGACAGGCTAAGACTAGAGATTCAAAAATAATTAATGAAAATAGAGAAGAGGTTATGAGAGTGTGGGACATTTTTGTATTAATATTTCAGAAAAGCCTGTGAGACAGGAAAACTCTTCTCAACTCTCTAAGGTCACAGCTAATATAATGAAGACTATTTCTTAAGAGTTCACTGTATCCAGGAGTCTCAGCATTTTATTTCTGACACTTTTCTAATGGCAAGTTTGACACTTCTACTTAATATCAGTGTCTGGAATACAAAGCAGCTCATCTTCCTAATACCACCCTCACTCGGGCCTGAATCCTCTAACAATGAGGCAGAGCCAGAAGGAGGATCCATCTCGCAGCTCCAGCCTCTCCAAACATGCACTGGCTGAACATCAGCATAATTGTTTTTGAATGCAGGCGCTTACTAATTGGAACATTATATTATTATTCAGTGAAAAGAGACTGAATTAATGTTACCTCTGTGCATCACCCTGCGGGAGTGCATGTGTTCCACTGCACTGCATAACTGCACAAAATATTTCCACACCGTCCTTTCCGGGATTAACCGTTTCTGCTTTTTAAAATACTGTGGGAGGAAATAAAGAAAAGATCAGTGAAAAAGCAACATATTTGACTCGTCCCTGGAACTGTGTTAGTCAGCTGCAGGTTGCTCGTGTATTCCACATCTGCACCTGCAAGACTTTTCTTCCGATTAGCTTTTAACTCCTCCTCCCTGTATGGAAACTTCGATGCAGTTCACTAATTACCAACTATTACGAAAAATACGCTTAAATAGGTTTGACGTTTTTGAATGGACACAATTATGATTAGCATTAATCTCCTTAATTACCTTGCAAAACATATTTAATGCCTCAAAACAACAAATGTCTCAAATATTTTGCCTTAAGAAACAAAAGACCATTAAAAACCCCCTTGTAAACATTCATTCTTGCATCCTCTATTAACAAGGACAAGGAAATCTGCTTCCCTTTTTTAAGAGATGGCCAGAGCATCAATAAAGTATCCGTGCTTCTTCTGTGATCAGGTAGAATAACATATTCTATCTCATGCATAACAGGAATACTAAATGAACTGCACTCTCTGCAGTGAGCAGAAAGACACGCCTGATCAGGAGCCACAGGGCTGGACAAAGGCCATTCTGGGGGTGTTTGGGCAGTGCCCAGCACGGGTTCCATGCACCTCTGGATGCCTGAACCTCCCAAAAGAAGGGGAATCACAACAACAGGGCACGGAGTGCAGCGTGGTGCTGCCCCTCTGCAACACTGACATCACCCTCAGCTTCCTCCAGGAACAGGTGACCAGCTGCACACCTCAGTGAAGGGCAAACACTGCAGAGCTTCAGCTGCTCCTTCCCTTCCAGCAGAACACGGCACCTCTGCCATCCCAGAGCTGCAGGGCCCTGAGTGCTCGGGGCTCCATCCTGTGCTGGATGCTGAGCCAGCCCTTCCACCACAGCATTAACAAAACACGCTCATAACACCCCTCCAGAGCTTCCAGACTGAGCCTCGTGCTCTGCCACACAAGGTGCCCCTGGATAACGGCTCGGGAATGCTGCACACCCTCCTGGCTCCCACAGCTGCCCTTCTGCACCGTGCCCGTGACAATTCCCATCTGCAGGAGAATAAAGGAAGGGAACTGTTTGCTGCCCCTTTCTGTATCTCATGCTTTCCCTCCCAGCACTGACATCTGATGGCCGCTGTCACATTTTCCATTTCATGTGAAATGCTGTTACTGGTTCGTGTTTGACTCCAGGAATGGCAAATTTTCTTTTGCAGATCAGCTGTGAAGGGGCACGACCGTGCAATTCCCCAGGCAGCAAATCTGACAGATTGCAACAGTTCCAACCCAAAACTTGAGAGCGAGCACAGGGAATTACAGAGGGTGAGGGAGAAAGTGTTATATACACAATAAAATTATTTAATTCTCAATAAAGTATTTCAGAGTGGATATGCAAGACCACAAGTGATAATTTTCTAAATGTCATGTCCAATAAGGTTCGCCTGACATTTACAAGGAAGTCCCAACTCTCAGGTGGGTTTTCCTGCAGCTCTACATCCCTCATAAATAATGCAGGCACCGGGGCGTGACAGAGACAGCCCTGGCTTTATCACCCTCACACCTCCAGTGTTGTCACTGCTGTTCCAGGGAAAATCCTCCATCAGCCTCAGCTCCCCGGGGAAGGCTGGGGGTGACTGCAAACCCCGCTGCTGACACGGAGCTGCACTGGGGGGGAGGCTCTTGTTGCCTCTTGGATTTAGAATTTGGTGGTTTTTTACCTCTTAAAAAAAAAAAAAGAACAAAAGAAAAAAAAAGGAATTCCCAGATTTGCACCAATAGAAAAACTTCATTTCTGTGACCTTGAAAAAACCAAATGCGTGTTCTCCGTGCCTGAAATGCAGAGAGAACACAGAGCAGCCAGGCAGCACTGACAGGTAGCACAGTCCTGTGCTGGGCAAGAACCTGCCAGGGATGCTCTGGAAAAGGTAACTCCTGTTAGAATGACACACAAAGCAATTTAAAAAAAATTAAATAGCCAAAGGACAAATGGACAAATGAACACAGTAAGGGATGTTTTAAACTAAAAACTGCAGATGACAGAAGAACGCAAATATTTTATATCATGAAAAGTTACAGAAGGCGGCCCAAGGGAACAGTGAGAGCTGCAGGCACAGCGAGCTCTGCGGGGGCAGCAGGTCCAGCTCTGCCCCACACCCAGCCCAGCCGCTCTCCCCCACCGAGGGCTGGAGCTGGCACCTTGGGGCTCTCCTCAGCCACTCTGCCAACTGCCTTTCCCAGCCCGCCCGCCCAGGGCTCTCCCCTGAGACGGAGCAGATTTTCCCGGGCACTGCAAATTTAGCCGTTGACTGTGGACTGAGTGGGAACTTGTTTGACAGCCTCTGGCCTAGTGCCTTGTGGCTCTGCTGGCAAAGAAAACAAATCTGTTAATAAGATATTTTAACTGTGACAACAAGGAGGAGGAGAACTTTCCAAACATTCATTTATGATAATTACAGAATAATGATGGCAAAAAACAGGTAAAACATGGAGAGAAGGTTGAGAGTGCTAACAAACATGATATAACACATCTGTTCTCACAAGGGATGTATGTCTAAAGATTAACATGTCAAAGAAAATATAAAAGCAGGTGGTAACAGCTTAACTAAAGCTGGTTTGCAGCAATACAAGTATTCCTAAGAGCAACATAAAAGAAGAACAAGTACTTGAAACATTTTCTCAAACCCAAATCCCCATTGCAAAGAAAGTCAATACGCTTCCTTGAATGTCTTCAGAGTGGCAGACAGACAATGTGAACAGTGAACCCAACAGTAATTAAATGCCCCCATCAATCACAGGCTGAGTAAATCAGCCCTGCAAACAGCACTCATGTCCCACCAATCACAGACCCTGCTCCCCTCTGAGCTGTGACCACAAGCTCATGGCACGGCCTGGGGTACTTAAAATGCCCCCAGACACTGGTTCAGGTCTGGAAACACCCCATGGGTGTGCAAAGCTGCAAGAGGAGAACAAAAGTGTTTCTAGCCCGGCTGTGCCCCCCCCAGCCCGTGTGTGCCTGACCCTGGATGTCTGAGGCACCTTGGGGATGGACACATCCCTACCTTAATCATCTGGGAGAGGTCTCCGGCATCAGCCAGCTCCAGGACAATGTTCAGCTCGTTGTCTTCAATGAAAGAGTCCAAATACTTGATTATATTGGGGTGGTTCAGTTGCTGCAGACAGAGAGAATGCAGAGGAACACTCATGTGCTGTGGCAGTGACACCTCCAGGACACACCACCCACACCCTCTGCATCTGCTGAGCACAGCCGCGACGGGCACAGCCACACATCGGCTCAGGCACAGCCGCGACGGGCACAGACACACATCGGCTCAGGCACAGCCTTGATGGGCACAGCCTCAATGGGCACAGTCACACACCGGCTCAGGCACAACAGGCACAGCCACAGCCGCCACGGGCACAGCCACACACCGGCTCTGAGTCACCACACACACCCCCTGAAGGAACAGCCCTTCTCACCAGCACAGCACAACAAAGGTGCCTCGAGCAAAGAGTAACCCGACCCAAACACTGTGACACAACCCTTTCTGTTGCAAAGTTGCAGAATATTTAAGAACAGTGTCCTGAAAGAGGTCTTGTTAAGCAATAACTGATTTTTTCCTCCCCTATTAATTATAAACAAACCCCAACTGTTGATTACAGTACTCCTCGGGGTCTCTTTGCCCCTTAGAAGAACAAAATTACATTAAAACTCTGACAGAGGAAAATAATGCACAACTTGCACACACCACTTTATTTTTCTGATTATTTATGCTTTTATAAGGTTATATATTTATAAGCTTTATTTGCCAACCTGAAAACAATTTTTTTTCTCAAAAGAAACAAAAAAAAAAATGGGCAAAAGTCATTATAAAAATCCTTACCTTCAGGAGGTCAATTTCCTTAATGCAATCTTGCCTGGCCTTGGCATCCATCATTTCAAAAATCTTCAAAGACAAAAACATACAAGATAAAAATGAAACAACAACAAAAAAAGTACTTTTAACAAGCAGTTGGTCTTTCCTTCCCCATCTTGTATATCCTCTACAGTAATGAGCATTCACACAATCCCCAGATCAAATAAAGATCAATGTTTTCTTTATTTTGAAACCACTACAGGGCTAACATTGGGGCAAAGCTATTTTTAGAACCTGTAGGCAACACTCTAAGCAGCCCGGAAAATAAAGACACTAGTTTGTGAATGTACTGTCGTGATTTTCATTCCTTGAGTTACTATTAATTTCATATAGAAAATAAAAGACAAAATGTTGACTTTTCTCTTTTTAACAGATACAGCCTCCACTAATTTCTCTGTTATAATTAACAATAACATTGAGCATTAATATTCATTTTGTAACAATCAGAGAGTAAGTCACTAGAAATAAGTGTTTAGAGGGTCTGCTGAAGGATTAAAGGGAAATCTCAAACAAAATGCTGTTCTGGACTCTGCCCAATCCTTTCAGCCAAGTTACAAATCTACACTGCTGGCAACCAAGTCTTTTAGAAACTCTTCTAAAATTCCCCAAGCAAGCTCAGGCACTTCTGCCTCTCGTGCTCCGTGTTCCCATGGCCGAGCTGTGTCACCACGGCAGGATCCCGCAGGCCAGAGGGCCTCACCTCATTCCTTCACACACATTTCAGTACAACCTCACTTTGTAAAGAGTTTTAAATATTCAATGTAAAATCTGTTTACTTTACAAAGAGGTGAAATTTAAAATATGAAATTGCACTACTGCTACATAACTCTGGTTTGGGAACAGAAACCCACTCCAGGGTGCAGAGGGACAAGGACCTGCAGTGCAGTTCTCCGACTCCAAGTGGCCTGTGCAGGCCCCTAAACCATTCCCATCCTGCTCCCACGCAGACAGCGAGCTCAGTGCTCACCTGAACCTTCTTCAGTGCCACCGGCTTCCTGTCCAGCAGACAAGTTGCTTTGTAGACCTCGCTGAACTGGCCTCGCCCGATCTTCTTGTCGATCTGGAAGTCTGCCAGGGTGCAGCGGTACGGGAACGCCGTCAGGTGCCTCTGTGGGGCCGGGGAGAGGGTCAGTCAGTGAGCTGGGCTGGGCTGACACCCTCCCGCTCTCACCCACGGGCACCGTGGAACCCTTGCTTTGCGTGTAAATAGCTAATTAGTCCCACACTGCTGTCCCTCGTTACAGCCTCTCAGCAGCTCTCCCTGCCTGTGCCGAGCAGGCCCAGGTGAACACCCAGGCAGGCAGGGAGCATGCACTGACCGACTGGGAACTGCTCCCCAGAGCCAGCCTGCTCTGCTCCACAATCAGCACCACTGCCAAACAATGCTTAAAGAACAAATTATGGACATCAATTACTCAAAACTACCACACGTGCCAAGCAGAACGCTTCCAAAGCTTCAGCACTCGAGCCATTTCAGTTTGCACCAAACCCACAGAAACAGAAGTGGAGGTGTGGAAGGGCTTCCCAGGGATGAGCCATCACTCCCACCTCACCCCTGAGCACACAGTCCCAGCACAAGTGTCCCGGGAGAGCAGGCTGGGAGCTGGATGTTTGAGGAGATGACTATTCCCACCACTGTCACTTCCCACCACAGAAGGAGAGGCTGGAATTAAGATTTAAAATGCAGGGAAAACTGTCCAGCATTTTTTGTCAGCCCCATACGAGACACTGCGTGGGTCTCTTCCAGTGGATGTTTATTTTGATAAGTAAATAAGTTTGGATTTCTTTTCTTTGCAACAGCAATAAAACAGAGCACTACTCAACATGAATAAAGAGCATCCATCAGGCATTTCAAAATGCCTTCAGATTTCAAGGTGCATTGTGCTACTCTGAACAAAGCTGTAAAATTCAGTGTTTTAAAGAGAACTGACCAATAAAATTCCCTAAATAGCAATTTCTGACCCACAAACTCCATCAGTCAACCAAGACAAGCTGGTTTGAAACTGTCACCTTTAAAGCACCGTTACCACAACAAACAGAGGAGCAATGCCCACAGTGGAAGTTCATACTCAAAAACCCACTTCCATTTGATAAATGCTGACAATACAGAGATCAGGCAGTGGAAGACCACCAAGTGGGTTTGGTGTCACCTCCCCCTCCTCTCCTGCAGCCCAAGGCTGGCTGTGGCCAGAGCTCGCCCTGCACTCCCACACCATGGCCTGTGGCAGCCCTGGGAACTGCCTGGGGATGGAGCTCTGTGAAGGGAGGGAGCTGCTGCCAACCCCAGCACTCCGACAGCTCTGAGCTCCAGCACAGACAAAATGCAATCCCCTAACCCCCAGCCAAGGCCTGTTCATTCAGCAGGCACACAACTGGAGATGAACTCCAGGCTGTCGTGGTCACCAGCTGCCTCACTTGAAGTTCCCTAAAAGAGCAAACCCCCTTCTCTTCGGATGAAGCGACACTTCAAGGAACTGTTTGTGACACGCCAAGGCCACAGGTAAGATTTTCCATCTCTCACCACGAGCATTTCAACAGTCTCATGGCATGAGAAGGAGGCGGTGCTGGGGGCAGTGCTGGGTGATGCCTGCACACCTCAGCTGATGTGTTCTGGCACCCCCAGCACTGCAGCTGCACATTTACATATGCAGTGACCCAGATTTGCATTTGCTACCACAACCTATCAGACCCAATTAAAGTAACAGAGCCTTCCTAGAGGGAGAGGCTGTTTGATTGCAGCACAAACCAGGAATCCTCCTCAGGTTACACCAGGCACACCGGAGAGCTCCCTGTTGATCACAGGCCGTTTCCCCTCGTGTTTAAACTCACCCTTCCCTAATGCTTTACTGTATATAAAGGGAAGCAGGAAACTCTGCCAAAAACTGTTATAAGGACACAAAGAATACCTAAGAAACGTCTACCTCCTCAGAGCACCATCCCTATAATCTGGCCTTATGTACATCTCACTTATTTCACAACTGCTGACATGGGGAACCCCACTGTTCTCACACCCTTCTACAATTAACCACCACAGTTTTTCATAAAGCTGTCAAAGAACCAACCCCTATTCATTCCAACAACCCACAATCCTTATTTCTGTAAAACTCAGAGTTTTCATGTACATAAATTATGTGTAAAATTAGATACCACCACCACCTTCAAACCTGCCCATCAAAAACACATTTTCTCATTGTCAGGACTGATTCAGGCCCAGGTTTGCAAGAGTGCAGCAAAATCGAACCTCTGGCTCTGCAGGTCAGGTCTCAAGGCCAATGATGGAGCTTGAATTAAAAAAAAAAATAAAAAGAAAAAAAAAGGGGATTAAAAAACCAAACCAAAAGAGCTCCAACCACTGGACACTATGAAAACAGGACTGTTTGCACATTTCTGTTCCCAGGGCAGATGTAGGAAGGGGAAGAAATTGTTTTGAGACAAAGGCTGTTCTCTTCATCCACACAATGAAGGCTCATTCTTCTCCTGTTCCATAAAAAAAGAAATAAAAAGCCAAAGATCAAAGTCAATTAATTCCTCATTCGAATAAAAAGGCCATTCATTTTTAAGCAGAAATGCAGAGATTATTCCAAGAACAAGCTCTTCTGGGCATCTCCTCTGGCAGACACGTGCTCTGTGAGACGGAATCTCTGATGCCAGAGCCCAAATTCCAAAGCTGGCAAGAGCTGGAACAGCAGCCCTTGTCACGGTACTTGAGGGAGAAGTTTGCCAGGCTTTTACCCTCAAATCTTGAGGTATTGCAAGAATTTCAGCAACACAGAATTAGTAAGGTCTTGTAAAAAATCCTCTGGCACCAGAGGCAGCTGCACAGACTGTGCAGGAGGAACAGCCAGGCCAGACTTCACACCAGACATTGGACACGGTCCCCTCCGAGAGCACACGTGGGACACCCCTGAGCACATTTCTGTTTGTTGTTCTTCGTGAGCAGTTGTACAGCTCACAGTCTGGATTTTGGGATAAGCAAGAATAAGAAAAACCAGCTCTGTAGAAAGACTCTCAATCTCCAGAGCAATCAGTGCGTGGCCAATAAATTCACCTCTTTGCAGCGACTTCAGATCCAGGGAAAACCCGGACAGCCCAAGAGAGGTGTGGGACAGCTCTGCCTGCAGCCCCAACCCCTCCTGTGGGGCCCAGAGGTGCCCTGGGAACAAACCCAAAGCATCAGGAAACACTGACCTGTGCAGAGCCAGGGCTGCCCAAGCGCTGCCCACAGGGGAACCCACGCCTGGGGGAGCTGCAAGGGGAACATCCCTGCTGATGGCACAGCACACAGACCCCCAGGGCTGCCTCAGCTCACAGCAAAGTCAGTCGTTTCAGTGCTGGCTGGCACGGGGAGAGCAGGCACCAGTCAGCAGCCTGCACAAATGGCTACAAGGTCACACTTAGATCACTTGTAATCAGCCTAAAAATCGTTGAAGATGGGTTCACCAACAGTTAAAAAGTCAGACACCACGATCTTCAGATGCCAATAAAAGCATCTTTCCTGTAGAGCCACGAAATGAAATATTCTTTAGAAGAGTAAAAATGTACTCGCCCAATTAATTTTCTGAAATCTCATTAAAAAATTTAGCCCGACTAAGTCATACACTTCTGACCTGAATTTTAATTATCTTTACGCTGGATATAAGGTTTTTTTTCTGATATTTGCAATGCATCATTAATTTTCAAGGAATGGCTTCCCTGCTTCTAAAGTGCATACTTCATCTGAATGACATTTACTGTAAGTAATTTCACCTTTAAAAGACATCTGCAGCAGGACTGGGGGAGCTTCAGCCCCTCCAGTACAGCACACACATCCCATAAGCAATGATTTACCATCAGCATCGGTGTATCAAACCTTCTCAGTGTCCCAAATTACACACCTGCCTCCACTCAGTAATGCCTGCCTGAAAAGAATTTTGCATACTTTGAGGCTGGAATTCCAGTGTGAATTT